CATTAATATCAATGACATCTTATTAATCAAATCTCAGTCATAGTCATGGTAAAAATCTAATTTTCATCAAAATGTGAGAATTTACTTACATAATTACATTATGACTGCTATAAAGTAAGTGGTAATACTCTTCAGCAATCTATTAATAGTCTGGAGCAATACCACAGAAAACCTACAGCTCAATAGCTTTTTATTTTAGTATGGTAAATACACATTTTTTAAAAGAGTGGGGGGGGGGGCCACTTCCAAGAAATGTAGATCTTCCAATAAGCTCATGGAGTCTAGTTATTAGTTGTAAAGAAATGTATAATGAACAGTGTTAGAAAAGTAGATATTATATATTTAACAATGTTACAAGAAAACATAAAGCAAATTTTTCTGCTTTCTGTATATGTTTTGTTGGCACAGCTCTCAAATCTGCTAAAAAAAAAAAAAAAATACACACTTCAAATCATAAAGATGGTTTGTGCCTTATCTTCCATAGATTCTTGGTCTGTGTAGATAATGAGGCAAAGCGTGATTGTGATTTACTAGCCGGGTGTGGAACTCCCTAGTAAGACAGACTAGGGAGGATGGATACTGACTGGAGAAAAATAGCCAAATAGCAACTCCAAGGCCACAAGAAACAGATACATAAGAATAAGACAACTGTTTTAAGAAATAACGGAACACATTAAAGCATGGAAAAGATGGTTGGATTGAGTAAGGAGGAGGGTAGCACAGGTTAAAAAAAAAAATTGGCATCTTCTTATCTATTAGAGTTCTAGCAGAATAAGTAATAATGTATTAGAAGGATTTGGGGTGAGTTATGATACATGTATGACAATATACTTAGAACAGAATATTCAAAGATACGGTAGCTTTAATAACTTGTGCCTGAATGATGTTACAAGATATAAAGAATGTATATATAACAAAGGGGATGGGGGGAGGGTAAATGCAGAACATTCCCCAGATCCAACCTGATGACAGAAAGCCTGCTGGCACCCCAAGACTGGATAACTGACCATTACTCTATCCTGCTCTGTTTTATTTATGCTTCATTAAGGTGGTGGTATACTGCCCTAAAATTTTCTTACTAGTTAAGCTTAGTAATTGGTGGGTGGAAAGCACAGTCCACCCAACATAGTTAACAAGCAGCAATTCTTTTTTAGGGTCACTTGCTTTATACACCTACCTAGGTAGAATCTAAGTTATTAGAAGCCCTGCTACAAAACAGCAGGGCAGAGCTAGGAAAATAAAGAGAAAGAAAATAATAATATAATAATTAATGGAGATATCCCATCTCCTAGAACTGGAAGGGACCTTGAAAGGTCATCGAGTCCAGCCCCCTGCCTTCACTAGCAGGACCAAGTACTGATTTTGCCCCAGATCCTCAAGTGGCCCCCTCAAGGATTGGGCTCACAACCCTGGGTTTAGCAGGCCAATGCTCAAACCAGTGAGCTATCCCTCCCCCTTCTACTTAGGAAGAAAAACAGCATTTACTCACCGCTTCAAATTTTTCTCTGTTTTTGCGAATGTAATTTATACAGGCGTTCCTAACATCAATATGCCGAGATTGTGAGTGTAACACCTACGGGGGGGGAAGGAAGAGAGAAGCTGCAGTTTCTTAAGACTCTTGATGGAAGTTAATGATTGGATGATGTAATGAATATAGGTTAAATGTGAGCTTGGAAAGAATCAATTTGGATGAATATTTATTTCAGAACTGACAACTGTACAAAATTAAATTGGCTACTTATTGAAAATTAAATGTCAAGTAAAAATTTACGGTAAATTTAGAAAATATTTAATATGAAATGAATATTTATTGACAGAATGACAGCATAGTAGCTGTCCATCAGACTTTGTTTCCCCCTTTTCCTGTATCACCACCTTAAAAGAAAACTCCCACTATCAGAATAACTTTAAACAAAGAATTAGAGTCCAAATTTTAGTTTAGTGGAAGAAAAATTATGTGAGTAATGTACCAACACTCAAAATTAGCAGGAAACCTGGGTCAGAATCTGCAGCACTAGTCCTCCCACTGCTATTTGTATGTAAGACACTTTTTTCAAAATGCTGTTTCACTGAAGTGAGGGGGGAAGTGTGACATGAAGATATGATCATCTTACTCCAAAACTTCAGCAAACTCATTCACACAATCTAAAGCAGGGAAGGAAGGGCTTTAAAGGACTTTCCTGGATGGTTTTCATACCAGATGGCTAATCCCAGTTTTCACTAATTTTACACTAAAAATGTACTGCTGGGGGGGAGGGAGGATTCAAAACTTCAACCTAAATTTCCTATTTGGAACAGGAAGATTGTGCACACATACCAATATGTCGAATTCCTCCCTCTCTGAGATGTGGTGCTTTCCCATGGCAAAACTAGTGTTCCTTTAATCCCCACTCGCCCGTTTTTCACCCTCATCATTAACACCCACTAATGGGATTCATTTCCTCCAGATATCGCCATCGTTAAAGTGCTTCTGGTTACTTAAATTAAATAACTACTTACCTGCTCGGCCACAGCCCTGAAAAGACAGGATCCATCCTTGGCAACCCGCTTTCTATATAAACCCTGAGATCGCAAGTAACTGTCCATAGAAGCGTCCCCAGGAGCCTCCACGCCGCTGTTGGGATGACTCTGCTCCCCGCCATCTGGCTTGCAAGCAGCCTCCATATTTACTGCTTAATACTGCAGCGAATCCTAGCCCCACATGGCAAGACTGCCCCACGGGTAGGTAAAGGAAACCGCCGCAGCCGATAGGGTTGAAGAGCGCTTCCCTCCGCAGCAATCGGGGCAGCAGCAGCAGGAACAGCAGCTGGCCTTACGTTGTCAAATTGCATGTGGGACTCATGGGCGGATTTTTACTGCATAACCTGGATTGTTAGCTCCTTAAAGAGAGTCGCTTTCTGGCCTCCCCAGAGGGCCTGACAACTGCTCCTGGAAAGTAACTCGAGGGGTCCAGATCCGACCCCTTCTTCAGGGCGATGATTACTGCTGGCTCCTCTTGTACACACCCAAGCTGCAAGGCGGAAAACAAAAGAGAAAGGACATGTACTGCTGCTACTACTGCCAAGAAATAGTAACCTACAGTTTGTTTTCACTTTCAAACCGCTGCCACAGATGTTACTGGGAGTTGTAGTTCTACAGAAGCAGGAAGCAGAAGCACAGTGGTTGAGGAGGGGAATCCCTCCGAGCCAGAAAGGCTCCTGGAGGAAGGGGGAGAGAAGGGACGTACTTGGTATGAGCAGGTCAGCAAGCAGCCCTGGCATGACGTGCGGAGACAGCATACAATCCCCCTTTCCGATGCAAAACGCATACACCAGTAAGCGAACTAGACTTTCGTATCAAACTCCTACCGCCCTCTTTCTAAATAGGACTCTAGTTTCAGTATCAGGTCTAGCAATCTGCCTAGTGCACTTGAGGTTTCGATTCTTTTTGTTACTCCTCCCACATTAGTGCTGGGAGCTGTTTGTGTCGTTTCACAGGCATGTATCTTGTAGCACAGAGACTTTTTTCCTTGCCTAGTTTCTGCCTTGCTTTTTACAGCAAAACGCTGCTGGGACTTCCATGCACATGATTATCAGATCAATCAGAAATGCAATATGCGTCTCGGTCGTTGTCATACAAGCTGGGTATAGTTCGTCAGCTAAACTCCATTACAATTAAATGGCTTAAATTTCATCGGGCATTTCACAAGTCTTTTTTATTTAAAAAAAATAGAGCAGAAGCAAGACAATTGGAAAGGCCAATTTTCTTTTCAGTTCTATAACTAGTATACGGTAGCATAGCTGGAGAGTAAGTATTGTATAAATTAACCTGCAATGTCAACAATTAATGATATTCCAAGTAGGGTGCTCTCAAAAAGCTGTGCAAAACAATCAGTCCTCTACCAAAAGGGTCCGTTGCATTTTTGCTATATTGTACTCTACTCTGACATTTCAACTGGCTTGAGGCCTAGCAAATTACAATAACAACCCATAAAGTTCCTTGGGCGCTCCTCCCATTTTATTTGGTATTCTTCAGGACCAGTATCCTACCTTTCTTCCTTTTTTCATTCCCCTGAAGTGTTTTCACTCACATTCGAGCTTTGCCTTAAGGAAAGGCAAATCCTAGCCAGCACATCATCATCTTAGTGGTACAGAGACCAATAAAAATATTTTAGAACACTGGGGCGGGGGTTACAAGAAACAGAAGCAGCTCTGGAGTCACAAAGGTGGCAAGGTATCCTACATTCAATAGGAATAAGTAGATGCACTGACCCAGAACAGCCAGACCATCCAAGTTTCAGTTTCACTAAGGCTTGCAATCCATCGAACTAGGCACCAAGGCCAATAAACCCTGTCTGCTGCGGGACCGTACAAGCAGCAGCCCGGTCTCCCTACAACGGGAGTCGTCTGACCTGAATTAACTTAACGCTGGAGTACCCAGCAGACACAGCGGCGCGAGGGACACAACACCGGCTGAAACACTGTGACACCCCCAAAAAGACACACGACTACACTCTGCTTTATTGGTCAGAGAGTCCACCCGCTCCGCGACGGGCCTGGGCCGCCCCGGAGCAGCGCCCGGCTCTGCCTGCAGCGATCGCTGAGGTTGAAGGCGCGGCTGCACGCTAGGGCGAGGGGTAGGGGTGTTAGGCCTGGGACACAGACGGAGCGCAGGAGACGCGGCGGCCGGGCTAGCGGGGGTGTCCCCGTAGCGGGCCGGGCGGCTGGTGCCGTGTGTGTCACTGCGGGGCCCTGGCCACACTCAGCAGCAGCAGGACCCGCATGCGGGCGGAGGGGGGGCAGCCCCAGTTGCGGGGAGCCGCCGGGCGAGGCGCTGGCTCCAGCCCCCTGAATTGCCCCTGCGCAGTGACTGGCACTTACCGAGGGAGAGGCGGGCGCAGCAGGCTCGGACTCTCCTGCCTCCTCCCCTCGCGAGGGCCCCTGGCTAGCGGCGGCGCAACCACTTCAATCTCCCGCGTCGCCTTCCTATGATGCTGCCGGCGCCCCTGTCGCCTGCTGTTGGTTTGTTCCACCGGTCACACCTGTGCTGGTGGCTGTAGCTTGCACCAGGGGTCTGCGGGGCGCGGTGGCAAGTCGAGTTGTTCCCCTGTAAGCGTGGGGAAGCGGGTGTTTCACACGCACCCCCACGGAAGCAGCTAATGGTACAATCCGCAGACTGCTTCGCTCCCTCTGGGTATCGCTGAGCGCTCTAGTTAATGCGGAGTGCCGGGTGAGGGGCTTTAGATGGAGCGGGGAGTAGCCGGAGCTATCCCTGGAGGATTAGCCTGGCCTGGGATATTACTGCGGGGGGGCTCTTTACACGGCACATGTTACAAGTTAAACTGATATAGTTAGACCAGTATAATCCCCTGGGTGCGCGCTCTTTTTCTGCACTTAAAGTAGCTTTTGTTGTTGTTTTGTTTAAATCCCTTCCGAAACAACATAAACTGAATGGGAAAAAGTGTCTTCCACCAGAGACTGGGTGTCCGCCTGGGACTTTATTCGTTGTTGCTGTATTTAAGCTTGGCAGAATTTGATTTTTATTTTTTATAACTTTAACGGCTAATAATGATGTTTATTTTAAGCATTTTTTTTAAAAAAAATATTTATTTAAATTGTCTGACTTCCCTTCCCTGGGACATTATGGGTAGTCAAACAATAATTACTTAATAACAGTAGATGTTGAGATTCAAGAAGTAAAAGCTTGGTAACTATTAAAACACAAATTGTCAACATCACATGTCAAAACATACTAAGTAAATAGCCTTAAATCAAACTAATAAGTTCTCAAGCAGCAGTTCTCTTACTTTACCTATTTGTACATTTAAATGATTATTATAGAAATATATTTTTGTTTATATGGATACAGTGGAATTAATGTTTACCAACAAAAATCTAATCCTTCCAAGCCTAACTCTATTGATTTCAATTCACACCTTAACTTACATGGTATGACTTTCCTATGTAGCAAGCCATTAGTGAAAAGCAGCAAGAAAACCTTTAGGTTAATCAAGGCTAGAGAAGAGTATGAATCTTTCCAGAGGGATGGAACAAAGCTATTTATTATTACTTATTTGTGTTACAGCAGTACCTAAGGACTCCAGCTGAAATCAAGGCCCCTTTGTTTAGGCTTGGTACAAACATACAGAGAGAGAGAGTCCCTGCTGAAGGCAAAGAGTTGTGGGGAAGGGATATGACCTACAAGCAGAGTGAACAATTTGATGATCTACAAATGTCATTAGGTACCAAATTTTTGTTTTTGTTTCTTTTGGGGACAAGGCAACTGCAGATGAAATTCAATGTAGATGTGCAAGTAACGTGTATTGGAAAGAACAATTTGAACCATTTATACATATTGATATATGCTAAAAAAATATTCACACAGGAAAAAGACCTGGGTATCACTATGGACATCACAGTGAGGTGAGGAAGACTGTGACTGGCTGGGCAAGGAGCCTAGGACTGAGATTGTAGGAGGAGTGGGAGATATGGGAAGATTGAGACAGACTGGGGCAAGGATGCTTGTGGGAGACTGAGATTGTATAAGGAGGTAGGGGATAGTATGCAATTATGTAATTAATGTAACAATGAGGGAGCAAATTAAGGTTGCAAGGATAGACTTAAATCTGGCATTTCTTACTTTTGAGAACCTGCCTTTGCAACCTTAGCTTTCTTTTCTCATTTTAAGTGTAATTACACAAATAGACAGTACCTTCTTCTCCTGAGCACTCTGTCTAATTTTGGTTGCCCTTTCTCAGTAAGAATGTGACAATATAGGTACAGTTTCTTTAAATCTGTAGTAGGAGGACAGGAAGAAATGGAACTAGGGGAAGTTCTAGACAGGAGATCAAGAGAATATCTTTAGTGTGATAATAGGTTTTTTTTTTCTTGAGGTGATTCTTTGTGAATCTTTATCTTTGTTTGTATGACAAAAAATAATAGGAAAGATCCAGAGAAAGGCAATGAATATGATTAGAGATGTGAAAAGGCTTCCTTTATAAAGAGAATCTAAAAGACCCAGTCTGTTTAGCTGAGAGGAGACAAATAAGTAGTAGAATATATACAATAATGAATGGTGTTGAGAAGGTCAATTGGACACACTTATTGTCTCGTAGCACAAGAACAAAGGGCCATTTGATTAATTTAAAACAAACAAATTTAAAACCGATAAAAGGTTGGTTGTTTTTTTTAAAGGGTCTTTAACCTGTGAATTCACTACAAAATATTAATGAGCCAAAGAGTTCAGTAGGAATCAAGAAAGTAGTGGAAACCAATATAATCATTTAAACTACCTAGGAAAATGTTAATAGGGTTATCAACCCTCATGCTTTAGAATAAGGTATTTCTCAATGTGAGTAAGGTTATCACTATCTAGTCATATGTTTCTAGCAGGTTGAGAATGCAACAAATAGCAAGCAAGGGTTTTCCTAGAAACTTTCTCCCAAATCTGAAGAGTTCGTTTTAAATTTTGAGTGTAATTCTTCCTTTTGAATACTGACCCTCAACAGAAGACTACATGCTGATGAATCAGGGATCTATCTGTTCATTGGTTTTAATGTCTAGAACAGATTCCAAAAATTTGTTGCTCTGGGTGAACTCAGGATGGCATAGAGATCCTCTACTGAAAAAAAGCAGTATTTTTCTCCCCATACAATACTTTGAACTGGTGTACACACACACTGTGATAAATGAAGGGGAAGTGGGGTAACTCCCTTTAATGGACACCCAGCCAGCTAGCTATAAAGTCCCTCTTGGTGGCTGTTCTCTGCTTGCTTTACCTGTAAAGGGTTAACAGAGTCCCCCAGGTAAAGGAAAGGGAGTGGGCACCTGACCAAAAGAGCCAATGGGAAGGCTAGAACTTTTTAAAATGGGGGAAAAAACTTCCCCTTTCTGTCTGTTCTTTCTCTAAGAAAGAGGGGAACAGGGAGCAGTTATGCTATAAGAAGCTTTAAGCCAGGTATGATCATAAATCATTAGAGCATACCTAGAACTACTTATTTGGAACTCCCAAATGTGTAAGTAGATCAGAAATGGTTAGAAAGACTCAATTAGGGTTATTTCTGTTTATTTGTTATGGCTAATGGACTCCTCTGTGCTAACTCCAGATGCTTTTGTTTGCTTGTAATCTTTAAGATGAACTCCCAAGAAAACTATTTTGGGTGCTTAATTTTTGGAATTGCTCTTTTAAAATCTAGTAAAAGCCTAAGTTCCAAATGTATTTTCTTTCTTTTTTGGTTTTAATAAAAAATACCATTTTTTTTTTTATTTTTTAAAGAACAGGATTGGATTTTTGGTGTCCTAAAAGGTTTGTGCATAGGTTGTTTAATTAGCTGGTAGCAACAGCTAATTTCCTTTGTTTTCTTTCTCAGCTTTTCCCGGGGTGGGGGGGGATGGGCTTGAGGGTACCCCATAAGAAGGAATTCCCAAGTGTGTCTTCCTGGGTGGTGGCAACGTTTACCAAGCCAATGTCAGAGAAAAGCTGTAACCTTGGGAGTTTAATACAAACCTGGAGTGGCAAGTATTTTTAAAATCCTTGCGGGCCCCCACCTTCTGCACTCAAAGTGCCAGAATGGGGAATCAGCCTTGACACACACTCAAACCTTTCTGAACTGACTATTAACTGTAAACAAAATGGATGGAAAAGATTAAATCCTTTCCATAACTCTCTAAAGTAGAACAAATGGTTCACTGTGACACCCATTGAATGCAATGGGAAGATTCCCATTGCCTTCAGAGGGTGTTGGATCAGGCTTAAAACATGAAAGAGGGGCAAAGTAATCAGTGTAGAGAATTTATTCTATTATTATTTATTCTTTGTGTTCACTGACATCTTCTGTAATTCTGTCAGAGAGGAAGGCAGGCCCTTGATAAAGGGCCTGGATTTCTTGCTTACATTGATGAAAACTGCATATTACTGGATAATAATAATACGGAGGATCTAAGAATAATTCTACCGTCTGCGGAGTCAGTATCCCATCCAGGTTAAAAATAACCTATGTACTCTCAGTTTTGCATACCTTAGTTACTTCCAGATGGACAACAGCAGTGCTTTCTACCTGGATACGAAACCATCAGCCTTCAGAAAACTACTAATTGTATAACCTGCAGAAGTTTACCTCCTCAACATGGGCTACTGCAGGCACTGCTGACCTATTCTCATCTCACTACATTGGCTCCCTATAGAATATCAAAATCAAATTCAGGTCTCAGTTCTTATTTTTAAGGAGCTTAATGATCTGGGCAATATTTAAAGGATTACTTAAAGCTCTGGGACAAACACTGCAGTCAACAACTCTATTCCTCGGGCACAATGAAACTGTACTACAAGGGCCAAGACGTACAATGAACTCCTGTTAGAGCTAAGAACCACGACAAACATCATCCCCTTCTGTTCCAAGTAGACAGGAAAAGAGAGAAGAAAAGAACTACATGAGACATGCTAGACACAGCATTTCATTCGCTTTGATACCACAGTGAGGGTGTAGTGTAAGAATCTGAATAGAATAGCAAGGTCTGATCCCATTTCATGATCAGTCCCTAATTTGGGGAAAGTAATTTTCTTGTATTTCAATTGTCAAGGGCACACTTACTTTTCTCATCTTATCAAAATCAGAAGCATCTGGTAATCAATAATGTGTCCATGTTCAGAATATTAATAAAGGGACGGCTCAAAAACTATGTCTTGAGTTTTAGTATTTGAAGTTTAGAAAAGTGATATATTCAGCTCCCTGAAAACTAAAAAGAAAACAGATAATTCCTTAAAGATACTCTAACTTCATTTTTTCTCATGGAAAACTTTTTACTTTAGAGTTTAAGGAATACATGTACACCACTGGCCAGGAAAAACACTGCCTTTTACTTTAGAGCATCAGAGCAGTCCAAACTTAGCATAGATCCGAACTTTTGTGCATGTCCTAAATCTGAAGTGACAAAGGTTTTGTTTGGCAGTTCTGCTGTTTGTGGTTATCTCACTTCCTCTTTTTTTTTTTCTTTGCTGATGTTATATTGGCTAATAAAGAGGGAAAGCGCATGTAGTATAAGCCTGAAGTAAAATCAATAACTATTTACTACTAGTTTTAAGCCATTATTTCTCACAGAAGAGTAGGAAATAATTTCAAAGATGCACATTTGTGGCTATTTAACTTTTCAAAATCCCCAATAAATTAAAACTCAGACAGCATTTGGTTAGACTTAACTATTTTGGTTTTGATTGGGGCATATAATGAGTGGTATTTTCTTGTAGGTGGAGTAAGTACTATTTATGTTTTAATATAAATTAATCATTAAGAAACTACGCACCATGTATTTCTAAAAAAATTACAGATTAATTGTAATACACATGTCCAGAAGCTCAGTGACCTTTTTAATATAACTTTAAAATAGCAATAATCCTGTGTAAAGTTGTCCTACTGCCATTATGAAATGGAATGTATTAATTTAAAAAAAGCCTAACTAGGCGTTTACTGGACATGACAACTTCATGCTCATTTCTGTAAACTTTATTTTATGACCAGATTCTAGAGCCATTTCAAGAGAGAAATGTTTATATTTATATAGTGCTAGAGGTATTAATGGCACTTTAAACATAAAAGAAGACAAGTTTTCTGCCAAGAGATGTGTTTAATCTATACAAATACAATGAGTAAACATGTAGTGGGAGGAGGGATGTTTATAAAGGCAATGGTGAAAGCCCAAGAGTTTGGAATGCTCCACAGTGTGTAGGCTATATTGAGGCCAAGGAAAATGCGAGGAGAAAAGGGAGGTAATCTTCAGCAAAATATTTGATCTTAATTATGTGGATTAAAAACTATTTCTGTTCCTGTTCAGAAAAAAATCCAGCTTGAATCAGTCTAGGATATTATTATGTGTAAGATCATAAGATAGAAGAAGGTTAGTTTTTCAAGTACTGTGCTAAGAAACAGAAGGTGAGAAATCTGGTAGTAGTTAGTGTTGAGATCAAGGGGAGAGTGTTTCTTCCCCCACGTACCCAAAGTTTGTGGACAGGGACCTATTTTATAGAGCAGGAAAGTTACCCGAGAACTAACAAATTTTGACAATTGTGATAGTGTATGTAGAGAGCGAAGAGGGAGAAGTTGCTTTTCTCCACAGACTGGATATGATCAGGAAGGCTATAGATGACTAGAGGAGACTTTCTACTTGGAAAGGCACAAAAATGGATTCAAATATATCTAATCATATTTGTGTCTAATGCCACTGCAGAATATTTATTGTTTTCCTGGTAATGTAATTGAACAAGATTCAAAGAAAATTTAAAAAGCGTATACGCTTGTATCGTGTTAGTGAGACATACAGAAAATGATTTAGGCACTTCTTAAGAGCCTTTCTTCTGAGGATTTCAAAGCAGTCTGCAAACTATAATTAAGGATCACAGCACCTTTAAGAGGCAGCTAAGAATTGTTATCCTTATTTTACAGGTAGGGAAACTGAGGGAAAGATTTTCATCAATTTGCCAGTGCTCATGCAGGAAGGCTGTGACGGAGCCACACATAGTACCCAGATCTTCTGATTCCCATGTCTGTGTTCTGACTACTGTGTTCCCATATCTGTCCTCTCACATCTAGAGCATATACTCTTTTTTAAAATAATGTATATGGTCTGTGTAGATGTTATTTCCTTTTAGTATTTAAATAGCAGTTAGTGCTAACACAGACTTAGTTGAATTAAGCGGGAATGCAGTAAAATTCACTAATACCTTTAAAATGAGGGTGGAGAAATTTCAGGCTGCTGATAAAGCTCTAGGGTTGCCAGGTGTCCGAGTGAGATAACACTCCAGTGAGGCAATCTCATTAGCTAATAAGAACTGTACTTGTCATCCCATTGACACCCAGAGTCAAGTCTTTTGGCACTCATCCTGTTCTCCGCCACAGTAACAATCTCTAGTTCCAGGTAGACAGGTTGCAGATATATATTCTTCCTTAGGGTCATGTGTTTCTGACAGTCTTTAATAGCACTGTATTTTTGCAGTTCAATACTTTATCCTTTAGATGGCATTAGATCCTTTAACATGTTAGAAAAATAACAACACTCACCATATTAAAGTGTGAGATGAGGGTAAATGAGCACAGCAGTAACTTTAGACACTTTGCTGGAAGGAATGCAGCCAATACTTGTTGACAGGAAACCATAAGTATTAAATAAAGGCCTAGATCCTTGGCTACAGGCAAGAAGGAGGCAGCACGATTCAGGAGGGTTCAGAGGAGGCAATCCTGGACTAGGTCAGTCCTGAGGCATTGCACCAATTGTTAACTATCCCAAGAAGCAAATAGAGCAGCTGGGGATTGCCAGAGTACAGGGAGGATCCACCTATACCCCGTTTTTCCCCCCGCCATTCTCCCTGTGTCTGCTGCAGGGAGGCGTAAGATTGAGCTGTTATGCTGGATCTATGCCATCAGAGTTTCCTTGTATGCTAGAGTGATGCTTCAATGGCTGGTTATGCCATAGTAGGTCCAGATCTGCTGTTGGTGTGTAAAGTGGGTGCACAAGGTAGGATCCAAGATTAAGATGGTAAAAAGAAGTGTAACACACAAGACACTTTTGTTGAAAATACAGTTGTGCATCTGCACATGATCTTGTACGAACCACTTCTAGAAAATGGAGTTTTAAACTATTTTCCCAGTATATGACCTTTCTATTTAATTTTGGACTCATGCATGTTTTCTAAGCATAGGGCTCAAGTGTTCATTTTATGTAAATTACATCATACATGCAGTTGATGGAGCACTTAAGGGATTGTAATGCTGTACACCTTTCTACTCCCTTGAACATAGAATCTGTTTTAACGCTATGCTATTGTACATGCCTTAAATGTTGGGGAATAGGACTCCGACTATGATAGTTGGGAATGTGCCCTTCTTATTCAAAGATCTTTAAAACTGAAGCACACTGTTGAAGTGTTATCCCCACTTCACAGATGTGGAAACTGAAGCACCAAGAGATGGAGTGGCAGGTCCAATGTCACACACACAGTCTGTGTCAGATTTGAATATAGAGCCCAGGTGGTTTCCCAATTCCTAGTCCTGTGCTTTAACTGCCAGGCTAATTCTCCATTTAACATGGGTCTTCACGTACTACTGTAGTTGTTCTGTTCAATGGAGGAGTCCTATGCAGTGTTAAGAAATTCTCTCTCCTATTTCTAGGTCCAGATTTGGAAGAAAGACCTTAAAATATTTTAAAGGTCTGAAATGACCTAACAGTGTTGAAACACACACACACACACACACACACAAAGAATCTATGCAACATTGTCAACATTCATTTCTTCTTTTATCTTTGTGTCACTTTGGGAAAATTCAGACTCCATGTACTCAGATGCTACTCTATTGATTTCATTGGGATTCATGAAGTCAGTGAGGTTGCATCTGCTTACACCAGTCTGAATTTGGCCCTTTATTTCTAAAATGAGTCTTTCATAATAAAGTACAAATGAGAAGTGTGTATCTCTGGCTGGCTTTTGGCTCTCTGATATAAAACACTGCAGTTGTGTTGGCTTTCTTTGCAATTACATCTGAGTTTGACTTAGTAAGGCTGTTAAAGGAATGTCTTGTTCTAATGCCATGTTTAACTCTCTCTCTCTTCTTTTTTTTTTTTTGTAATTTATTTACTCTGGAAAATTGAACCAGACTTCAGCATCTGTTTCTCAATGACATTTTGTGTGAATGTATGTTTTGACCCAGTATTACATCTGGTTTCACTAAGGAACATAGCACTTAAGTAATTAGCCCAAAGTCACTTAGTCAATGGCTCACCCTGCCTGAAAATTCTCTACTCTTCTGGCTCCTTGTCTTTTTGTCTAGATCACATTGGCTCCCAAATTTAACTAAACCTTTATTGAGACTTTGACAGAACCTTTCATTCCGTATAATAAATCACTTTTATTTGGGAAGATGTCTCTTCACAAGTCCTGCATGAAATTTCTACAAAAAATATTTCTATAGTGTTATACAAAATGATAAGAAAAGCCCCAGCATCAGTTTACAGTCTGTTGGTTTGGAGCTGTCCGCCACGGGAACCAAGACAAGCGTTGCAGGAAGTGTGGCTACTCCGAGACCCTGTCCCACATCCTGTGCAGCAGCAAGCCCCACTCCAGAGCCTGGCAACTGTGCCACAACGCCATCCAGAACCGCCTGGTGAAAGCCATCACACCGTGCCTGGGCAAGGTTGCCGTGAACTGCACCATTCCTGGTACTGACAGCCAGCTGTGACCTGACGTCGTCGTCATCGACGAGGCCCAGAAAAAGATCATCCTCGTCGACGTCACGGTCTCCTTTGAGAACAGGACCCCGGCCTTTCCGAGCTCATAAGCTGGAAAAGTACGCTCCCCTGGCTGACACCCTGAGAGCGAAGAGCTACGAGGTGCAGATGGACGCCCTGATCGTCGGAGCCCTGGGCACCTTGCATAACTTGCAATGAGCGTATGTTGCGGACCTGCTGGATCAGTCGACGCTACGCACGGCTGATGCAGCGCCTCATGGTCTCAGACACCATCCGATGGTCCAGGGACATCTACACCTAACACATCACTGGCCACTGACAGTACCAGGAGGCGTGAGCCGGAGCGACATCGTGCATCGACTACGAGAAAGGGACCGAGAGACTTTGTCCATTGGACCATATGAACTAGAGCCATAAACTCACTGAACGTTAAATCTCACCAAATGAGGGTCAATCCATCCTCATCATTGTATCCACTCATTATACTACACACCTGAACATAGCCTTTATATGAACAACATACCCTCATATCTCAATGTCTGTACTTTGGCCCATTAACCCTTTACCCCCAATCAAGGATATTGCAGATTATGTATTCCTTACGCCATCTGATTTTAAACTGAACTTTGCACCCCTTGATAATCTGTACGTTATTCCCTGATAACCAGAAACTTCTACGCTTAAACTCCTTATTGGATCAGGGCCAAAGTGCTCAGCACCTCACAGAATCAAATCCTTTGTAAGCCATAACAGCATGTCTGATAGAACAAATAACGGGAGGCTAGGTGTTACCGCAAAGAGCAGGTTACAACTACAGATGGTAGAGAAATTGAAGAAAAAATCCCCCCTCCCCTAAAAAAAATTCTTGACCTTTTTTTTTGTTCATAGATTTCAAAAGGGAATAACTTTCATTTTTGAAAATTTGGGGGTTTTCTTTTTTCCTCTTTTTTTTCCTCCTTATTTCCTTTTATACCATTTCCCTCTACTTCCTTTTTTGTCACTGAAAAAAAGCAGGGGGGTGGTGAAAAAATGGAGAAAGGAGGAAAGTAAAAAGACACCAATTTTTCTTTTCCAGTTGAGTAAAAAAAAAAAATTCACAAAAAATGCTGACTCAGAGAGGACATTTTAAAATATTTTTACCAGCTCTAGTTACAAAAAATAAAAATCCCAGACTAAATTCATCCTTGCTATAACTCCACTAAAATCAATCAGAAATAAATCAGTTAACTGAAGTTATGCAAGGCATAAATTTGGACCCATAGAATTATTTTGTAAAGTTCAATGTGCATCTTTCTGATTTTTAAAATATGATTCTTACTATTTGAAAATATTTCCTGTGCTTATGAAAACAAAATATTGTCTTTTAGTTACATAGTGTATGCTGTAATATTTCTCTCTGATATAATGCTACTTTATCTGCATTAAATTCCCATTCCATCCCTCCAGTTAACATTTTTTAGTACTTATAAAATATCTTGTGTAAACATAAATACTAATATTTTGTTGGTTTGTGAATGTTGTAGACAGTTAACCAGCATATTTGAAATATACAGAAATATATGTATTGTAGAGAGCAGCTTGAATGAAATCAGTATCCTTTAACTATTCCGAAATAACTCTCCCTTGTGGACACTTGATTCAGGAATAAAAGTGATTTTATTCTGGAATAATTATTGTGCTCACAAAACAGGTAATTATTCCAGAATAAAGTCTCTACTATTCTAGAATAAGTGTCCACATGAGGGAGTTATTTCAGAATAGCTAAATTATTCTGGAATAGCTATGCTGGTCAGTTTCCTCTGTGTAGACAAGGCCAAACTCAGATTTTGAGATGTACAGATTTCAGCAAGCCTGGAGTAGCTGGGATTCCGACACATCCTTCGTTCATTGTATATTAGTTAACATGTCCATACAGACAGTAAAACCTTTAGGTAAATAGGGCTCAGGATATTCAGTTTAAAAAAAACCAACACACTCATTTTTAATATTATTTTAGCTTGATTTTTTAAATGCCTTTTCTATCTAATTCTCTTTACCACTTTAACACCTTATCCTTATTCTTCTGGCAGCAACCGCACCTAGAATCTGTTTTCATCTTTGCACTCAGCTCACGTCATTGGAATTCTAAGCATTTCCAGAGGGGCATCCTCTCTTAGACTGCTGCAGTGACAGCTTTCTGCTGACATAATAGGGACAATTAGATCATCCCAGTGGCTAGTCTGAGGCAGCAGAGTGGTGACTAAGTGAGACAGCCAGCATCTTCTCACTGCTAGATTAATCACTTAATTGTCTGTCAAATTACTCAATTTCCCTCCACCAGCTCTGGGATTAAGTGTATGTCTATGCTACAGTGGTACAGCTGCGGCGCTGCAGCTGTGCTGCTATTGCACTATAGTGTAGATGTCTCTTATATTAACAGAAGGGGTTTTTCCGTCATCATAGTTTATCCACCTCTTGAAGAGGCAGTAGCTAGGTCAATGGAAGAATCCTTCTGTCAACCTAGCCATATCTAAACCGAAGGTCAGGCCAACCTAACTACAGTGCTCAGGGCCCAAAATTCTTCATTGTCCTGAGCAATGTATTTACAGTGATATAATTTGTAAGGAGTCTGCCAGACAACTCTCCAACACCACATTCTACAGGCCACTATCCTCCGATCTCACTGAGGAGTACCAAAAGAAACTACACCATCTGCTCAAGAAACTCCCTGCTACAGTACGGGAACAAATCTATGCAGACACACCCCTAGAGCCTGAGCAGGGGTATTCTATCTACTACCCAAGATCCATAAACCTGGAAATCCTGGATGTCCCATCATCTCAGGCATTGGCACTCTTACAGCGGGATTATCTGGCTATTTGGACACTCTCCTCAGACTCTACGCTACCAGCACTCCTAGCTATCTTTGAGACACCACTGACTTCCTGAGGAAACTACAGTGCATTGGTGATCTTCCTGAAAACACCATCCTGGTTACCGTGGATGTAGAAGCTCTTTACACCAATATTTCACAAGAAGATGGACAACAAGCTGTCAGGAACAGCATCCCTGATGAGGCCATGGCACACCTGGTGGCTGAGCTTTGTGACTTTGTCCTCACCCACAACCATTTCAGATTTGGGGACAATTTATACCTTCAAGTCAGCGGCACTGCTATGGTTCGCACATGGCCCCACAGTATGCCAACATTTTCATAGCTGACATAGAACAATGCTTCCTCAGCGCTCTTCCCCTAGCGCCCCACCTCTACTTGCGCTACATTGATGACATCTTGATCATATGGACCCACGGGAAGGAGGCCCTTGAAGAATTCCACCTGGATTTCAACAATTTCCACCCCACCATCAACCTCAGCCTGCACCAGTCCACACAAAAGAACCACTTCCTGGACACTACAGTGCAAATAAGCAATGGTCACATAAACACCACTCGATACCGGAAACGCTACTGATTGGTATACTTACCTACATGCCTCCAGCTTCCATCCAGAACACATCATACGAGCTGTTGTCTACAGCCAAGCCCTAAAACACAGCCGCATTTGCTCCAATCCCTCAGACAGAGACAAACACCTACAAGATCTTTATCAAGCATTCTTAAAACTACAATATCCACCTGGGGAATTGAGGAAACAGATTGACAGAGTGAGACGGGTACCCAGAAGTCACCTACTACAGGACAGGCCCAACAAGGAAAATAACAGAACACTACTGGCCATCACGTACAGTCCTCAGCTAAAACCTCTCCAGCACATCAACGATCTACAATCTATTCTGGAAAACTATCACAGGCCTCACAGGCTTTGGGAGGCGGGCCAATCCTCGCTTACTGACAGCCCCCCAGCCTGAAGCAAATACTCATCAGCAACTACATACCACACCACAGAAACACTAACCCAGGAACCAATCCCTGTAACAAACCGCGTTGCCTTCTCTGTCCCCATATCTACTCTAGTGACACCATCATAGGACCCAACCACTCCAGCCACACCTTCAGAGGCTCATTCACCTACTAATGTGATATATGCCATCATGTGCCAGCAATGCCCCTCTGCCATGTACATTGGCCAAACTGGACTGTCTCTATGTAAAAGGATAAATGGACACAAATCAGACATCAGGAATGGTAACATACCAAAGCCAGTAGAACACTTCAATCTTCCTGGACACTCAATAACAGATTTAAAAGTAGCCATCCTTCAACAACAAAACTTCAAAAACAGACTTCAAATAGAAGCTGCTGAGGTGCAGTTCATTTGCAAACTTAACACCATCAATTTGGGCTTGAATAGGGACTGGGAGTGGCTGGCTCACTATGAAAGCAATTTTCCCTCTCTTGATATTGACAACTCCTCATCAATTATTGGGAGTGGACAACATACACCCTGACTAAATTGGCCTTCAACATTGTATTGATTCTCCACTTGTAAGGTAACTCCCTTCTCTTCATGTGCCAATATATATTTATGCCTGTATCTGTAATTTTCACTCCATGCATCTGAAGAAGTGGGTTTTTTACCCACAAAAGCTTATTCCCAAATAAATCTGTTAGTCTTTAAGGTGCCACCGGACTCCTCATAAATTGTAAGTGTAGACCAGGCCTAAGACTGACTCTGTTCTTGGAGTATTCCCCATTCTGTGAATATATTTTTAAGATCACTTGAGAAAAAATTGGCTCAAGCCTTGTGCAGTCTGTCTCTGTCTATTATTATTTTTCTGGCTATCATGCTGTCTGGAGTGCTTCATGACTCTGAGTGCCAACCTCAGGGCAGACTGTCAAAAACCAGGGCAGAGACCCCATACTGATTGATTGTATGTTCTTTAATTAGATTTCACCAGTGCAGTAACAAGTGTGAACTCCTAAAGCACTGTAACAGCCTTACCACAGAGTCACAGACAGACTGGAATGCATTAGGGACTATCTTGCCACCTAGGCAAGCTGGACTTAGGGCTAGTCTACACTGGCAACGCTAAAGCACTGCCGCAGCAGCGCTTTAACGTGCCTTGTGTGGTCACGGCAGAGCGCTGGGAGAGAGCTCTCCCAGTGCTCTTAAAAAAACCACCTCCACGAAAGGTGTAGCTCCCAGCGCTGGTGTACTGTCTACACTGGTGCTTTTCAGCGCTGAAACTTGCTGCGCTCCGGGGGATGTTTTTTCACACCCCTGAGTGAGAAAGTTGCAGCGCTGTAAATTGCCAGTGTAGACAAGCCCTTTGTGATAGTTGGTTACTATACAACAAAGATCACAAAATATTCAGGTTACTACCACTCCCAAAAGACCAGTCATTTACCCCAGGTCAATTTGTACCTTAGATCTTTCACCAAAGATGCTTGTAGCCAATCCCTTAATAAACTAACTAAAGATTTATTTACTAGAACAGTAGTTCTCAACCTATTTATCACTGTGGGATGCTATGCAGCCCACAATGTGTTACATGGGTTGCATGTTGAGAACCACAGCGCCCTCCCTCAAACCCTCCACAGACCCCTATGCCCAGTGTCCCGTCCACAGACCCTCCACAGAGTGGGGCCAGGAGCGGACCCCAGCTGTGCCAAGCGGTGGAATAGCCCACAGTCCCGATCCCGTGGGCCCAGCAGCCTTTAGCACACAGCTGAGCTGCAGTTGTGTGCTAATTGGGCCGTGGGTTGAGAACCACTGAATTAGAAAAAAGAAATTAGAGCTATTACAAGGTTACAGCTAGCAAACATATATACACAAATGAGTCAGTCTATGGGTTAAAAGGTGACCGAGTTGTAGTAATCTGTCAACTCGGAATGTCTTTTAGGGCTAACTTGTGTTGACCCTGGGGATCTCTGCTTCTGTTTCATAGCTCTGGTCCTGTTGGTGTCCTTTATAGCAAACAGAAGAAAAAATTTCGTGTCAACTATCTTTATTTCCTTCTTCTAGAATTCAAGCTTATGGGACAAGCCCTTTTGCACATAGCCTCTTCATAGGTGTGCAGGGGCGAGTAGCAAAGTCTTGGTATTGTGGTGTTCCACAATGGCCATTTAATTTTGGTAGTCCTTCCCGATGGGCAAGAGTTGCGTAACTTAGGTCGACATAGCCCCATAGTGTAGACCTGTCCATAGGGATTTAGCATTTTGTATAGGTAATGTTTTTTTTTTTTCTTGTTTGGTGAGTTACATAGTTCATTTTACAGCTATATAGCAAACACTTAAGTATTACCTTATAGTGTGGGCTACAGATATTATAAGTAGGATTAATACATGTAGCAACTTTCAAGCATTTCAAAAAGTCTAAACATAGTTATAAGTTCAATACCCATCGTAACCATACTAACACACAGGTGAGCTGGACTGGGTTCCAGCAATGAATTTGTCAGTGTTTGGCTGAGGCCTAAAGCCTTGGCAGGAGCTGGCACTTGGTCTGCCAGTGTCACACTGACATCATAAATTGCACTTCCAGTAATCCAGTAACACACAAATAATTCGTTTTCATGTCTATAGCTTTTGCCCCAGATTCAAGTAAATTGTTGCACTTTAGGTCTGATCCAGTGCCTGTTGAAGTCAATTGGAGTCTTTTCAATGACTTCCGTGGGTTTTGGATCAGGCCCTTAAGAGAGAAACCCTGCAGAATAAATTTTTTTTTTTAAATCATTCTTAACCTGCTGCAGTAATGAGAAATGGCAAACCAGGTGAAATGATGTTTATAAATATTCCAACAAATAAGCTTTGTTAGATAGTTATTCATTAAAAAGGTATTATTTGACAATAAAGAACTTGATTAAATGTCACTGTTAAAGATTTAAAAGGACACTTGTTTTATTATTTCTTACTGTTTTTAATAGGAAATAAAGTGCAGTGTTTACATCCGATTAACATAAGTAAAGCTCTTTGAAGAGGGAAAAAGCTACATAAATGTTAAGTATTAGTTTTATCTGCAAAAGGCCCATATTTTCATGGCAACAGTTCCAGTTGAAGGAAGAGTGGTGTAAATAATAACCTTCATGGCATATATGTCACTTAGCATTATAAACGCAGATAGACGATAGGAAAAGAGAAAATCAAAGGGAAAAGTTTAAAAAAAAAGAAGGGAAATAAGAGGGTATTTATTCATTCTTCCATGGAATCCGTAGAGCATATCCTCCTTCTTATTACTTGTGTACACAAGGAAAAAGAGACTTTTTCTCCTAATAGTGCTAAACATTGCATAAGATGTTAAACATCTCTTGGAGGAACTGGAGTTGACGTGTTAAAACAACACATGCAGTGGGTCCCCTGAGGTTCAACAAACCATGTAAGGCAAACAAGTTTTAGTTTTCTGCTGTGGGTGCAGGTGGCTAATTAATGCTGATCACTGCCTTTTGTCTCAGAGGAATGGAAGAAACATTTTAAGTCTCTGGGAAAAAGAAGGTGGGCAAATTGGAAAGGAAGTCAAGAGACAGGTAGGCTGTATGGAAGGCAATGTGCACACCCAAATCAATTTCTAATCCAAGTATTTGTAATGTACAGTTGCAACTGAAAATCTTTGTGCTGGGGCTTAAATCAATATATGGTTTCCTAGTAATTTTATTGTTAATATTATTATTGAACTAACAAAATAGATATAACTAGTCAGAATGGGGTGTGTGTGTGTGTGTGTGTGTGTGTGTGTACACAGCTCACTAAATGAATGAGGGAGGAAGGATGGTCCAGTGGCTAGAGCGCCCCAGAGACCCTGAGTTCCAGGCTAGAATCTTGAACAAGTCACTTAGTCTTTCCGTGCCTCAGTT